AGATCAAATGGTGAAACCCTGTCTGCTTTAATGAACACCCTGTACTCCAAAACTTCTTCAGCACTAAACCTGAAAAGAGCCATCCTGGTATCCCCTTGCAACATCCCTCCTGAGAGTAGACGGTTGGGACCCTCCTCAACTATACAAGGTGAATTGCTGTACCTCGGCTTCAACAGGAACTTGAAATCCAGTGTTTCTGAACTCAATAGTGCATGGAATGAAATGAAAATATAAAATTTTGAACTAAAAATGAAAAAGCAGCAAATCTTTCTAGTCTTTATGTAATTCCATTACCATTATTGGGACCCACAGTACGGGTTTTGATGTTTTATAACCAAGTCAAATTCAGTCAACTACTTAATAAAAAAGATAAACAATCCCCATACCATAAGTTTTCTCATTTTTATACCCTATTGAAGCACGAAAAATGAGCTAGCAAAACTATTTCACATTGAAAAGGCAGTATATGGATTAAAACCACTGCACAATCTTCATAATCTATTCCTTTTCATCGACAAAGTAACTCTACCGTCCACTCCCCCCACCCTGACCTCTCCTGACAGGCGAACTATAGGGAAGTTGAATCATAGTTACCATGATTAGGAGGAACAACAAAGCTCAATTCCCACATTGATGCTGATTCACGTTCTAAGGAAAGCTATAGCACCAAAACAATTAAACTAGCAATTAGAGATTGGCGAAAACTCCAGCCATAAATAAAAAGCAATAGAGAGAGAGTGATTACAGCTTTAGATGAATCCCACGAACCAACAAGCGGGACAGAGCCGTAAATATGAGGAATGAGCTCGCCTTTGAGTTTAAAATTCTCCATCTTCAAAGAAATATAGAGCTGCCCACCCGCCTGGTCTAGGTTTTCTTCTCGCTCTTCGTTCCCTTGAGAACCGCCATCCGAATTTTTGGACGCACTGGTACCCATTCTCTTTCAGCTGCTTCAACGAATTGCTTCCTCCAGAAAATTTCTAGTACAGGAATGAGATTTGACAACACACAGATGGATACTATCGCCAATCTAGGCAGCAAGCTGAAGCCATGAAAGAAGCGTTAGATTCTCCTCTATTTCGTTTGCTTGCCGATTCGGATAAAAGCGAGAGAGGGACGAGAGATGGAGAATAAAAGTGAAATTCGTGCAGTTCGTCTCTGCGATCAAAATATGGTCTTTCGTTTTCTTATCGATAAGAACGGAATCGAAGCGAGAAAGACAGAGACGATGAAATACTTCACTGCTTGTTGCGCTTTGTTAGTTACAACGATGGCCCAGCACTGCCACGGGTGCGAATCTGAGGCGTTCTACTCCGCTACACGATGGTGCATCGATTAACACTGTACCCAATTTTGTTACTTGGCCACGTTCATAACGGACGAAAAGCCCAAATCCAACAAATCCTTGGACCCCCCGATCTCCTCCACAGTGGGCTAAAGATTGCTACTAATTGAGTTCTTGGCCCGAACTGAACAATTAGGGTTAGGGTTTTAACTTATGCGCCACGATCACCATCCACCCCACTTGATCACGAATTTTACTGCAATATTCATCGTAGAAGAAGCAAATGAGGAGAAGATTAAGAAGTGCGTCGGAAGATGATGCGAAGATCAAAGTATTACCTCTCTCGCTTTTCGTTAAATTTTAGCAAGAAAGTTATACCGTTTGTCACTTTGTTGATCCGAATTTTGAGTTCTCCAGTTCATTAGTTTCGTATTCATTTTCAAATTTTCGTTCAAATACTGCTGAATTCTGTCTTTGCGATGAACTTGAGGAAGCCATTGCCATCATCATGGTCACTGATAACAATTCAACGTGAAGTCTACGAGATTTATGCAAGTTCTGGTGTAGTGTAATCTTCTACTTCCTATATATAGTGAAAAGACTGCGTAATGTTTAAGCCGACGCGATTTATATGCGGAGGGCGCCGGCGGACGTGATTTTTACGCTACGCGGCTTAGTAACTATAATTATTTTATTTAAAAAAAATCGAAGAAAACTCTTTATAGGTTTCAGTTTAACTAAATTATGAACCTATCTCAACTCCAGCACTGATTCATCACTTTGTCATGATCTCACATCAAAACATAATCATTATATTAAAAATAATCTAGATATTATCCGTAAACAAAATGCTTTTATTTTTAAATAAAAATACAGTAAAATTAGATAATGGGACAATAAATATTATTGAATCTATTTTTGTTTTACACCACTTCTAAGATTAACCTTTTATTTCTTTTTAAAAATACAGCCAACTGGATATTTAATTTAAAATTCGTAAAAGTGTTGACATCTAAAAAAATATATATATATAAGAAAAAAGAAATTTCATATTCTATAACTAAAAGACAATAATTACCAATCACAGTTGATCATACAAATGCATAGGACTAAACGGAAACGTTGTTTTCTAACCATAACAAAAAATCTATAATAATGTTTTACAAAATATTATTACGTTGAAAAAAACTAGCCAGCGATTGATTTTTATTGGGTATATAATGTAATAATTTCTATAAAATATTAAAATACCACTTGAAAAATATATATATAATACAAAGCGGTTGTTTCAATCAAAATACCTATTTAATTTCTAAGTTTACTTAAACTTAAAGCTCTCATGTATGTTATTAAACAAGCTGTTTAAAAGCACATGTAACAAAGTAAGTTGTTTGTCTAAAATACATGGTATTGATAACTTATATTAATTGAAATTATTTTTCAATGTGAACAAATCTTTAAATTAAGGAAGAAACTTACTGTTATGTCGGAAAGAGGGAAAATGTTTGAGTCTATCTATCTTGATAAGACTTCATAAAGGAACGGAAGCTGTGAGATGTTCCATATTGTCGAGTCGAATGGCAATATTTGTATACGTGATCATAGTATATCATGTCGTCTCGTCCTTGCAACATTGAAGAGTCTGATCAAATCAACAAATTAATATCTTGCATATTTTGCTCTACGAAATAATCAAATTTGTTGTTTTCACTTCTCGAACCAATTTGATAATAGATTAGAAGAGTGAAGGTTGGAATCCTAGTTCTCATAGATGAGTTGAATTAATCTTTTGTTTTTCGAAAAATGAAACAAAATACCCATGATATGATCGAAGCTATCAATTAAACGGGCCCATTAAAAAAAAAAAAGTCAAGTAATAATCTGGCATTTAATTGGCTGTTAAAATCACCGACTCTATCACTCGCTCCAACGGTCTCCATTGTCCAGTCAAAAAGTCACTGTCGTTTTGATCTCCCGCCATCGCTCCCGCTCATTTTCTCTCTCTCTACTGCCGGAAGCGCAATGGCCACCTCTCTTGCCGGCGGCGATTTCCAGCGGAGCATTGGCTGTAATTTGCGGGATCGCCGAACGGCCTTTGACTCGATCGGTATATTTTCTCCGTCGACTCCATTCGCGGAGTTCTCTCCCTCGTCGACTCCATTGTCGTTACTTCCAAGAGCTCCATTCCTATGTTCCCTCTTTCGAAGATGAGTTGGTTTCTTTCTCCGACCTGCCCCCTCACTCTGCTTCTCTCAGACGCCCTTCTCGATTTCTCCAACTGCCAGATTTCTATTGCTTTAACCCTCTGTAAAACCCTAACTATTCTGCTGTACAGATCGATCGCCATCGACGGATGTTTCCATGGCAGAAAGGATCAGAGTGGTTCGATTGCTCTCTTTCACCGGCTCAATCTCGGAATCCTCTATCTCTCTCTCGCGCGCACGCATTTTTGTAATTTCTTCTCCACTCATCTTAATCGTTAATTTTCTTCCCGTCTCATACGCTATATTTTGTATATTATTAATAAATATTATTCAAATTCTTTAATCAATATTGCTCTGAACTTCTATTACATCCCCTGCATTTTTACCCCTGTGTTGTGTTGTTTTGTGCTCTTTTTTCGTTTCGAAGTTGTTATTGACCATGGAAGTTCATCAACTCTTACTCTAGGTCTAAAATTTGGAGTTGCAGCGCCTAGCTTTTGAGATACGGGGAATACTGTGGGCCCTGTATGACGCATGATGCCAGCTGTGTCGTGGCCCAAGAATGGCGAATCCTCTTCCCCAGTCTCCACTTCGGGTTATTTCGTTAGAAATTTCATGAATCGGACCTTAACCGACTCGAATCGAAGTGGGGGAAATTAGGGCAAAGGGGCCAAGATGAAGTGATCAAGAGAGAAACGCAGATGAGAAGGAATCTGAATGCTTCGTAAGATGAATTGGCTGTCACGAGAGTGGGAGACGTGGGCTTCGCGTCTTCGTCCAGAACCTCCATTATCGGTTCAGAGCAAGAAAAGGGTAGGGCATGCACAACTACTCTTCCGGTACACTCACGGTCCTAATAGTCGTCCTCTAATGCATCATTTGGTACAATATGAGTCCATGGCGCTGTTCTTGTTCGAGTACAGAGGTGGAGATTGGGAAAGATGGGAAGCTTGGTGTCATGGCGAGGAAGTCAGCGAGTGGTTGGAAATTTTATTGGGTCGGTCTTACGGCAGAGCTCACTCTGGCCTTTCGTTGACTCTCTGGCCTTCGAATTTGACCAACGCCGAGACTTATTCTCGTAATCGTCGAGGAAGCCGATGCTCCGGCGATCGAGTTTTAATCATTCTGATTTCTGTTTGGTAAATGCGAGTGGACGGCTGGCGTTAGACGGAGTTGCTGGTATTTTCATACACTATTGTGTCCCCTGTCCCCTGGTATTTTCTTGATGAATAATTAATGTAGACAATAATTTCAGTGGTGGTGTTTCCTCATCCGAATAATTTCAGTGGTGGTGGTGGCTTTACGAACTAATTTTAGAAAATAAAATTTCAATATTCAATAGTGTCTTTACAAGCCATGCGCTACCTTTCAGCGGGCCAAGAACCAGAAGAGTTGCTCTTATGGTGTTTGGCACACTGCTGCCGTTTTTGAAGCAATTAACGAACTTTCTGATTCTGATTCTGCTACTTCAGTGCACCCTTCATAGGAAAGTTTCACACTTGAGGCGACGGAGACGAAGGAGCACTATTGGTGAGTTTTGTTAACACTTTCGTCTATCTCAGATAAAAAGTCTTGTTATTTTATCTTTTTTTTTTCTAATACTAATTCTTGGAATCCAATACTAATATTTATAGTGCTTCGAGAGCTGTTGCTGCTGCAACATTTGTTGATCAAATGTTGTCTTGCTTGGTACTAGAGTGGTATACACTTCTCTCTTTTAAGTATATTTTTTACATTAATCTCATAGTGGAAGTTCTTGGCTGATATTTTATATTCAACTTATGAAGGTTATGTTAGTTATTTTGATGCAACATTGAATGAAGATGTACATCCACGAATTGAACCATCCATTGCAACTCCAAATATATTGAGTTGGTATAGTTACCTATTTTCTCTCATCTATTATGTTGCAAATTTGTATATACAACAAGTTAATTAGCATGCCATTACCTAGATTATTTTGATTATTTTCTGCTCAGGACTCCAACATGTGTGTGATCTGTTTCTCACTTGCATTACGTTTTTAGTATTGTTGTAGTCTTAATAAGGTGAGTTTCCGTACCATAATCTTTATAAATATTTTCAAATATTTTGTTTAAATTTGATAGTTTTTTTTAATCTTTGATTCTTTATAAATGTGTGTGTGTGTGTGTGTGTGTTTTTTTTTTGAGGTTATAAGATTAAATTTCAATTACCAATTATTATGAATATTAAACTTGAGAGACATTTCCTATCCAAAAAAAACTTGAGAGACATAATGAATTAATATCTTTGGATTTATGCCTGATTTAAGTAGTTGCGAATGGAGCATTAAACCCTAATTTTCATTTAGCAACCAGTGATTCATGATATGTATGAGAAATTCAAGAGATTTTGCTCTTCCGGACAAAAGGAATTCACAAATAAATAGGAGCTATGGTGAGAGTCGATTAGCCATTTGTAGTTTGAAGAAGGTACATAAGTTTATTAGGAAATTGAAGATCAAATGGGAGAACAAATGAAGGTAAAAGGAGGGTAAATTTTGTGGCAAAAATTTAGAGGTTATGTACCTAAAGAGGGAAACTATATGTGTAGTGTGGTAGAAGGACTATGTATCAGAATTGAAAAATTAAAACTGAAGGATGCAGAATTCTTGGAAAATTTGATGTTGGAATAATATTGCATATGCATAAGAAGCTTATAGATGTTCTAGTTTTATGAGGAAAGTCAACACCATTGTGAATCACTTCCATTTGGATAAGGGACAATATTTTGGATTGGTAGAGTTTTAAGATTCTGTATTTACTGAGGGAAAAGATACATTATTAGGATTAAAGAATGAGATGAGACTGCATTTTTTTTTCCCTAAAGAGCTTTTGTTTTGAGGAGAGGATAACAATTTTTTTTGGAGGAAACAATTGAGTTACAAGTATTAAGGTTTGTTTTGGGTAGTGAGGACATGCTACAACTTGCTACGAGCCAACTGCATACCGAAAGTCCCAAAGAAGCTATACCAAATAACTGAAGGCTGTCCCAAAGAATATGAACCAGACTTTCTGCAACCTTTTTATACACTCAGCACCACTGAGACCCTAGCACAACAGAGGACGATCTTTAATTGTGATCCATGGTGTTAATCCTCCCATGGGTAATTTGTCAAGCAAAAATTCTGACCTTCTTGGAGATTCGAAGCTTCCGGATCAAAGAAAACAAAGAACCTGAAAGAAGGATGGACCCACAAAGACTATAAAAATAGGAACTGCAAGAGAAATCTCTAGATGGGCTAGGAGACCAAAAACGTATGAAGACAAGAATAAAGAAACATATGATGACTCACGATTTGACATCGAACGGTCGAAGAATAGATGCAATGGGCATAAATATGCAGCAGCATTTCATACCATTCTTTAAATGTTTCTGCGTATAATTATCCATTCCATTCCCATTCATTCATTCAAAGGAGTGGGTGATTATACGCGGGAACATTTTAAGAATGGTATGAAATGCTGTTGCTTAACAATTAATACTTTTTTCTGCACTAAGGATTTGTTTTTATCATAGAAAACAATACTCTCAATTAGCTCCAATAGTATTGTCGCTGATTGTAAGTATTGACTTCATGAACACATATGATACTGCTTCACGAGTGAATTTAATAGAAATTGTGTGTTTGTGTATATTTTAAGCATACAGAATGCAAGCTTTGTATTGACCTGTGGAATTCATTGCCCAGAACCGCTGGAGTTGTTGTTGATCAAATGCTTGGACTAAAGGAGGAGATTTGACAATAGTCTTGGTATTTCTTTGAACTAGAAAACTTTCACGCGCATTTCACGTGTAATATATTTTAACTTCATTTTGGTAGCACTATTTCATATTTTTTTAAAAATTATTTTTGGGACCTTAGCCAATTTTAAAAACAAAACATAAGTTTTCAAAACTAATTTTTCATTTTCAAAATTTGATTTAAATTTCAATATCAGAATAATTATAATTTAAGCGACAAATATGTTAAAAATTACTTAATCTATCCGATCTTTTAGCACAGTAAAGATATTGTGATTTTCATAGAACTTCAATCAACCTTATTGTACTAATCATTATAGGTTGAGAAGCTGATATAGTAATACTTCGTCACCAAAATCTATTTTTTATTAGTCGTTTGGTAGCCTCAAAGAATGGAAAAACTATTCCCAAGCTTTTGGGATACTTTGCTGGTTAGGTCAAGAGACAAAGCATTTCAATGTTGGAAAGATGTGACTCTTATCCTTCATATGCTTGGTACTGAATGATGAAGGAACTTTAGATTTCAATATGACTATGTTTTCTTTCTTGTAATAGCATCGACCCCTAAGCATGGAGCTAATCAGGTACGTTTTCAAACAAGATACATGTTTGTCTGTTCTTTTGTAGCGATTTTATTATTTTGTCTGGAGATAGAATCTTTATGCTGCTACTTAGTAAAAATGACATAACACTTTGGGGATAAAACCAACCACTAGATGCAATACAAAATATTTGGGAAAACATGATTGAGTTCTAATCATATAGGTACTTGGAGTGCCAGATAAACTTATATGTGCAGTAAGATTAAATTTTCAGAACTGATCCCTGAAGGCATATCCCTGTTTTCTTTTTAGATCATTATGATAGCTTTTGTCACCCTTTCAATTTGATTATCGCCACTGATGTTGGAGCCTGATTATAAGTCTTCTATTCTTTTGAATTGGAGTCCTGTTGTAATGATGTAGTTTTGTTTATTGGCTCCTTAACGTGAGGTTTCTTTTAGTTGCTGGTTTTTCTCATTAAAAAAACCTAGCCTCCTCGAATGTGGCAACATCCACCCGACTATGTCTTCTCTTCTTATTTTATAGACATAGTGAGTCTTTATCGAGAAATGTCTATGGAACTTAAGCAATAGTCCAAGCAACAATCTCCAACACAAACATAACTCAACAATTAAGGTATTTATTCCTTCCCTTAGGTCAGAGGTTCAAACCCCCACCCCATATTTATTGTACTAAAAAATAATAGTCCACGACAATCGAGATGAGAAAAAAAGCAGCGATGTTGGACTACTACCCTCCCCCATGCTCATATGGCGAGCTCTAATTCTACAGGTATAGTTATCTCCACCTTGATAATCTCCACCTTGATTATAACTTCCATTCTACTCGCCACAAGATCTTAGGTTTTGTCTGTATTAAAGTTTCTTCATTCCATAACTTTGCACCCACCCTCCATAGGAAGAGATTGCATTTATTCTACAAATCATGTTAGGGTTTGCAAAGGGAGTGCAAACAAAAGTCCCACATTGGTTAGGGAAAGAGATGATCATGGATATTTAAAGATAAGACAGTTACCACTATTGTTATGAGATCTTTTAGGTGGAACCAAAAGTAAAGCCGTGAAGGCTATGTCTAAAGCAGACAATATCATACTATTATAGAGATACGTGCAACTTTTTCAGGGCGGTCAGGTCTGAGAAATCAATGGCGATATTTCCATTGATCCACTCCTTATAAGGCTAACCAGATACCATTCTCTAAACTATGATGAAACCAGATATCATTCTATCTTGTTGAGATCTGCGCTCTACCTGCTGTTCCTTTTACTACCCCTGTGAAAGATCTTGCTCTTGTCTTACTCCTTAACCTCATCACTTCTTCACTTCCCACACTTTTCACTCAGTTTTTTTTTCCATCTTCCATGCCTGATGCCTCCCTATTGAAATCCTCCGGAGAATTTTTTGATAGTGTTCTTGTTTCTAGTTTTTGAGAAACTCTACATTGGATAATTAGATGCTCTCAAAATTGTATACAAATTGAGGGTAGGGTGGGGTGGGGAGAATTCTAGTGTTCAAGAACATAAATGAATATATATCATTTTTACCTATAAAATGCATAATAAAGATGTACAGAAACATTATAACTTTGAATATTATATTTTTTAAAAACTATTTTCATGTAATTATTTGTTTTTTTTATTTAAAATTGGGGAGAATTAGAAACTGAAGAATGGTTAACCAACAAATTTCTACTTTATTTTTCATGAATAAAAAATATATACGTGAAACAATTGCCCAAAAAGAATGATATATTTAAAACTTGGCAGGCATGCTTTTTTTTTTTGTTCCTTATATATTCTTTCATATTTTTCAACAAAAACTTGTTTCTCAAGAGGAAAAAATAAAAAATAAAAACAACTTTAATCGTTGAAGAACTTCTGGTTTTTTGTAGTATTCTGCTACTACCTCTCCTAAATGAGAGTTGAGACCAACTTCTATTTTGAAGGGTAGAGAGTAAGTGCGTAATTCATTTTTATTAACGAGTTTTGAATTTACAAGTATTCTTAGAATGGGACTCCGCATTTCTATAATAGTATTATATTTTTTACTTTAAACCTAAGCTCTATGGTTTTGCTTTTGAAATCATTCAAAAAATTTTGTATTGATAGACGTATTATCTCTTATATATCACGGATGTTCTTCTTTCTTGGCCAATATTGGACTTTGGTTGCATTTCTAACCTTATTATTATTATTTAAAGATACACCTATATGATAAGAACTAAGTAAAAATTTGTATCATCTAGTTAAAAAATGCTCATAACTACCACAATTTTAAAAAAAATAAAAACATCCATTTAATGATCTATTATATTAAAATTCAGTTTTAATTTAAAGTAATTGCCTATGAGTAAAAAATTGATCTTTTTCCTTTGAATGAAGTATTTGAGTTGAACTCTATTACTCAATTGCGTTGAAAGTTATTGAAAATGATAGGACGTAAAAGATCATCCCTAAGCATACCACTTTCACAACCATATATGTATATATAAACGATATCTCTAAATAGAAATTGAGCACTTCCCTCCCTCGTTAGATTTGTCATTTTTCACAGGACAAATACTTCACCATCTTGATGGAGTTGAAAGATCGCTTGTTTACTAAGTTGATATCTTTTTCTATTATAGCTTTGGCTTATTTGAATTAACGATGTCGTAGTCAATACACAAATTCACGATGCATCGCCACATCCTTGTGTGGAAAAAGGGTTGCAAACAAAAGTCCAAACATTGATATCTAAACAAGTATGAATTGCGTCATCTATAAATCCAGAATCCAGTTAAAATGTTAAATTGATTGAAGAAAATGAAAAGGAAAAAGAAAAGTCTGATCTTATCCTTATCAAATTGAATGAATGATATACCATTCGAATCATCTGTATGGAATTAAAAAAAATCACTAATACCCCAAGAAAAATGTATTGTGCATAAACAACTCTAACTTGTACAGAAGGAAAGAGAATTCACTCTCCCTTCTATTCATCTTATATTAAGAAAATTATATAAAAACATTAATATTTATGTTGATACTGATTTTTTAGACGAGGTGATGGGTTGAACTGTGTTGGCCTTAAAACTTCAATGAACCAAATCAAAGTGGTGAGGTAGTCTTCCTTACATGAGATAACCTCTACGTTTTGAACTCAACATTAGTGTGGTACTTTATCAAATACATTGTGTAGCTCAATTCTAGATATGTCAGAACGAAGATTCAATATTGACTTTAAAGATATTTTGAGACGTAGAATCATACTTCCATCGAAAGTCAATAGATATTCACCGAACAAATTTTGTCTGAAAAAATGGATTGGACTAGACTGCTCGTCCCATGGCATGTAGTCTTTCTTCTTGAGCTCGTGGAGTTCGGACTTAAGCCCAATTTCGCACAATGTCGTGGGAGTGATCCACATGTCATGGCAGACTCTTCCCATAACGATTTTAAAGTTTTTTTCTTTAATTTGCCCACCTTTCAAATTTGAGAAATGAAAAATTATATAAATATAAAAAGTTTAAATGGTAAAATTTTCTCATGGAGACAAATGTATGGCTCCACGGCTCCACCCTCAATAGTAGGGATTTTAATTCTTTTCAAATAATTAAAAATAAAACAATAGTAGGGATTTTAATTAAAATGAGACACGACAAACCATCTTTTCCTTCTTTTAGTGATCATCAGCTGACGCGGCCCACCAGTGTCAGAAGTCTGCAATGGTGAATAAATAATAGCCGCACGATCAATCACATTAATTTACCTTTATAAATTATAGGCACGTGCCTAAAAAAGAAATATGTGGCCCTCGTACCGGAAAAACAAATAACCAAACATCTGTCACTTTTTTTTCTTTTTACTTCAACGAGGTGACGGTGTAGAGATATGGAAAAAAAAAAAAAAACTTAACTAGTTGAATTAAGTTTAAATTAAGATTCATGTCCCAAAAAACATATCTAAATAATAATTTGAAGAAAATTTTTTGTTCGTTCAAGTTAAAAGAAGAAACATCATTTAATAGTTGATAACTCATTATTTTTTTAAAATATTTTTTATTTTTTTTTCTCTTTTAATTCTCCTTCTAAAAGCCAAGTTTCTTTCTTGTAGCTTAAAGTTATGTCTGTTGTAAAATCAAGAGCCATCAATGTTTATTGTGACTTTTTCATCATGGTTTGCATGTGCATGGGCAACAAAACTCCTGTGGACGAAAATTATGAGGCCCCGTGTCGTTAGGTATTTAGGAAAAAGATCAACGATTTTTTTTTTTAAATAGAGAATTTAGGTACTTGCTAAATAAGATTAAATCTTATTTGTGGTATTTATAATCAATCGTATAAGTATTTAGTAATGTATTTGTCGAATTTTTAAATATTTTTATTGATATTTTTATAGCATATTAGACAGATTGATATTGAATCTTGTAATCTAATCAATCTTGTAATCTATAGATGATATTGATATGTTGGTGTATATTGTCAACTAAAATATAGTTCAGTGAGTTAAGACACATGTATCCAACCATGAGCGTGAGAGTTCTAATCTCCATCGTGCATGTTTGAAAAATAATATTATCTAAATATTTAAACATAATGCTGTTTTTAGAATTGGATGTCTTACATGAGAATGACTAAGATCTCGTTAAATAGAATCACCATAAAGATATTATTAAACAAAAAATATATTTAGCCAAATAAATTGATCGGAGAAGTTATTTTTGGATGAGGAAAGACTATGCGTTTTTGGGATCTGCGTGCTCCAGGTTAGAACCACTAAAGGGTCCTAATGATTTGGACTTGAGTAGGCTGAAAAAAGACATACAACCTTGGCAAGAACGACGCTCCGTGAAATATATGACCTATGCTCCTTTAGGTTCTTTAAATTTAGTGGGTGGCGTAGCTACCGAAATTAATACAGTCAATTATGCCTCTCCTATTAGTTGGTTAGCTACCTCTCATTTTGTTCTAGGATTCTTCCTATTCATGGGTCATTTGGAAAAGGAATTGATCATGATTTTGAACATGTTCTTTTCATGATCGATTATATAGAAACTTAACTACCCAACCATCATAATATTACTCAACTACCAGTGAGCTAAGGGACCGTTTAAAACAATTTCTCAAGGAATAAAATATATTTTGTCATAAATATTACATTTGTTTTCTCACCATTTATTTGGTGGGTTGTTCACGATTTTTAATAACGTTGAGTTTTTACCCTAATTTCAAAAAAAAATATATATATATTTTGAAAGTGTTTTTAAAAAATAGACAAAAACAAACAAAACAAAAAAGAAAAGAAATTGGAAGTAGTTTTTGTTAGCTTAATTGTAAAAAATAAAAATCATAAATCATAAATGATTATTAAATAGTGCCTAAGAGATCACATGTAGATTTTACAACTTTCCATTATTCCACTTATTTTTAGCATTACAATTTAAATATAAATGACTATTTTTTCAAATCCTTTTTGTTGGTAGTAATTTATTTTATTATTAATAGTAGTATCTTTAAGTTCTTTCAATTAAATCTCGTTTTTAGTAGTCTTGATAAGGAAATGTGTAGGGCAAAGAAAAATCCTAATGAGGAAATGATTTAATTGTTTGAATTGACAACTACCATACATTTTTGACTTTTCAATCCAATTAAATTATCATTCAAACTTTCTCTATTCTTCTTTTAGTTTTGGTTGCCTTTTACCCATTTCTTTAACCTAATTTAAAATTCATTGAATTTATTCCAAGTAAAAAAATAATAAAATATATGATGGCCATGATGTTAGAAGTAGAGGGTAAAAATAGATATGAAAATGATTCCATTGGATCTTTTGCATTATTCAATGTATCAATTTCGGTTGGTAAATTTTAGGTAAGCTCGTAAAGATAAATGCGATTGCGGTAATTTAGAAAATTAAATTATAATACAATAAAATTTATCTCGAAGATTCAATCTTCACCCATGTGAAAATAAAAGCAAAATACTGGTTTTAGTGTATAACTATGACTTTTTTTAATTGTAAATATTATATTTTAAAAAGTATTAAAAAACAAAGTAATTTAAGAAATGATTTTAAAAATCTATAAACTTTTAAAATCAAGTTTTTCTTAAAAGATAATAATAATAGAAAATTTAGAATGAAATATTTGATTACTGAATATAGATTTTTTTTTTTCTTCTCATAATATGGAATCACAAATGTAAGGACACAAATTTCTAGTTTCAATCCTAATAAAAAAGGTTACCAGTATTTTAACTATTATTTATTATTATTATTGTTAGGAGGGTAAAAAAAAGTTCAGGTAAGTAAGAGAGTGTTAATTTTTTTTGCAAAATATTAGAAAAAGTAGAAATTCAAAGTCCGAAAGATACAATAAAGTGATGTACTCCAAGTACTATAAAATGGATTCATTTATTCGTTCACAACATCTCAATTGAAACACTTTAAATTCGATACTTGTAGTGGTATAAAATTTTGAGTGTTTTTTAGTTAGGGCAGGGGAGAGAATTACGTGTGATTGTAATATATCACATAGTAAATTTTTTTGGCGAGTCGTAGTTTTTCTCCGATTTCGAATTTTCCACGTAATTTTTTTTGTTTCTTATTATTATTATTATTTTATTTTATTTTCTCTAACGAAGTTAAGACAATTATTTTTATTAATATGAAACCAAAATTAAAAAATTACAAATATTTATATGTAAAGTAGACAATATTATCCAAAATTTGCAGTGTCCTATCCTTAACAATTCCCTACCTCTGGTACATTCCCAAATTAATTTATTTTTCAAAAAGTTAATATTTATGAAAGAGAAAAAAAAAAGTAAACCAAAGTGGATAATATAAATATTAGTTTATACTACCGTATATATGGATAAAGCCTAGGAACAGAGACAGAGGATAATAGCTCCAAAAGAATACGATATGTCAGCCATGTGAAGAGGAAGAAGGCAACACGTGGACCCTTGAAGTTGGTGCAAAATAATTTTAATAAAATTATACTTCAAATTTATTGTACTAAGATGATAAACAGTAAGTCATCGTAGGGTCCCTGTATTTCTACTAAAGTAAATTCCGATTTGTAACGATTTAATCCCTGTACTTTTCTTAACAATTTAGTCTATGAACTTTAACTTGTAACAATTTAGTCCTTGTAGTTTAAAATTTGTAAAAATTTAGTCATTATCATAAAAAAAAAAATTATTAAAATTAAGTGTCAAATTTTACCATATAATAATTTAATCTTTCTAATTCATAAACATATTTAGCCTCTCTTCAGTTTATCAATCTATATCTACAAGAAACTTAACAAACAAAATTCACGATAAAGACTAAATTATTATCAACTTTAAATTATAAGGACTAAATTGTTACCTATTAAAGTGTAAGGATTAAATTGTTATCAATTTAAAAGTATAGAGACTAAATTGTTACTTTAGCGGAAGTATACGGATTAAAAGTGTTTTCTAATTTTTTTCCTAATATTTCGTAAATTATATATTTTGAGTTTCAGACTCTTGATGCGGCCCACTAGTGTCGGAATTCTGCGTGGTAGATAAATAACAGCCACACCATCAATCACATTAACTCACCTTTTTCTTTCTGTTTGAGAAAAATTAATTCACCTTTATGAATTATATACACGAAAACTAACAACTAAACATTTTTTTTTTTTTTAAAGTTCAATCTCCTCAATATAATTTCAAGTGATTATTTAAAAGTGATGTACTGAGTAAACATCAAGGGCCACCTATGTCTGTTATTGCTTTTCAATCACGTGGTTTCATAAACATGAATGAGGCTTCAATTTGAGCGAGATGACAATAAAACGTTGGTGTTGTAAGGCACTTTTTAAAAAATTATCGATCTTTTGGAAAATAAGAAATTCTGGTACTTGCTAAGTAGGTTGAAATCTTACTTGTGGTATTTTTAATAATATTTGGTGATGTTTTCGTTGAATATTAACTATATTTTTTTATGGTATATTTATGATTAAATATTCGTCGACATTTTCATGTATCTATGAGTTCGACATCAATCGACATGTGGGGTAAATCGATATTTTCATCATATTACAAAAAGAAAATAAAAATTGTCGAAAACCTTCTTTCTTTTTCTCATCGGCATACGGATGAGATGAGAAAAGGCTCCATAGCGAAAACGGAGACTGCTTCTAGCCAACATCGACACCGAGTGAGAAACGTCTCTTCTTCTTTCGTTTCACTTTGCAATGATCCTCACAATTAACTAGTTCAATTTCGGGATTTCTCTTGAAGAACGACCCTGGTGGCAAAGATGGGTGAAGAGGTGTGTGAGTACATCATGCTTTTGATTCCAAGGCGCGGTGAGGGGGCCTTACAGGGAGGGTGGAGCTTCACGAAGCACTGAATCAACTGCTCCTCCATAATGGCTCCTAATACCACTTAGAATGATTAGCTAATCTTCGATGATATATGAAAGTACAAAATGTCATTAATATATGCATAATATTAATATTAATTATTTTTAACCTATTTAAAAATAGTTTAATATTTTTATTTGTTAATTTAATTTTTTTTAATCTATTTAGAAATAGTAAAATATTTATTTGTTAATTTAAATATTTTTTTTACATTTTTAAAATTTATCTAATTTTTACATAAATACCTATAGATATCCACGTATCTTGTTATTCAAGTGTCTTAAATTTTTATTTTTTTACCAATAAAACATAATTTATACTTTTTAAAAAAAATATATATGTTTTGCATTACTATCTTTGAAGTTGAATTAATTTTAAAAATTCAACCATAATTCAAAATACATGTTTATTTTTCTCGTGACCGACTTGTGTAACGAAAGCGGTGCTGACGCAGCACTTCCAAGTATTTTCCATACGGATAATGCCGAGCGCGAAAATTGGAGGTTTGAGGGTCAAGAGAGAAACGACCTCTACCGTCCAACTACGTTCCGAAACGTGGCGCAACGGCAGAGGACCTCGCCCGTGGTCCCGGAGCTACGTAGGAGGATGCGGAGGACTGGATATCTGGATAGTAGCCACAACGACGCCGTCTTGAGTGCAGCGTTCGACGCCTCCGCCCATTATAAATGCGTGGCTTCAGCAGCGGATATTCTGAACTTCTTCAACGATTCTAACGTTTTGTTCTCTGCGATTCGTTTTCTTTGAACAAATTTGCTCTCTCCTTCTTCTTCTTCTTCTTCTCCATTTTTCTATTACGGAAGTAATTACTTTCTTAATATGTGTGGAATTCTTGCTGTGCTTGGTTGCACCGATGATTCTCAGGCCAAACGTGTTCGCGTTCTCGAACTCTCTCGTCGGTAATTTCTTCTTAATCTCCTAATTCTTACTTCCCTTGTTCATGCTTTTTCTCCGTTCATTTCTTAATCTGTGTATGGCAGTCGGTGCTACTTTTTAGTTCGGTGGAGCTTTTTCGCTTTGCAAATCGAAGAACGAGAATATATATGTGTGTGTGTGTATGTATAATGTGGTGAAAAACCATTTCTCTTCATCTAGAATCGATTTTTAGGGTTTCAATCGTGTCGAACAGACTTGCGCAGTTCTGTTTGTTGTTAAACTGTGAGAGGTTAACTATCTCTGATGATATCTCGTCGTAATCTCAAGTAATTTCGGCGGGGGCTTGCCATGCAGTGCCAGTGATTTTCGGAAATTATCTGACTCTGATTGTTACCTTTTTTAACTTTTTGCTGAGAACAGATGTGAGGAATTCCCACGACGACGTCGTTGGATAGTATGAATATGAACTATGAAGACAGAAAATGAAAAGAGAACACAATTTTCCATTAACTTCTTGTTGGTTTGATGTAGATTGAAACACCGAGGCCCAGACTGGAGTGGGCTTTACCAGAATGCTGATTGTTATTTAGCCCATCAACGCTTAGCCATTATCGATCCTGCTTCTGGTGATCAACCTCTGTACAATGAAGACAAGTCCATTGTCGTCACGGTACTCCCTTCTCTTCTTTATTATCGTTTTGGGTGCGCGAAATGGAAGGGGAAGCACTCGTGTTCACGAGCATAAATTATTGCCTGAAATCAGGTTAATGGAGAGATATACAACCACGAGGAACTGAGGAAGAAGTTGGGGAACCATAAATTTCGAACTGGCAGTGACTGTGAAGTTATCGCACATTTGGTATTAACAGATATAATTGTAGAAATAGTTTTTACTCGATTAATCCTATTTTCCATGAGTTTCCCATTGGGATTATGATAGTTGTCTTTGGTATCTGTGTAGTATGAAGAGTATGGAGAGAATTTTGTGGACATGCTTGATGGGATGTTCTCTTTTGTGCTATTGGACACGCGTGACAATAGCTTCATTGTTGCTCGAGATGCAATTGGAATTACTTCCCTTTACATTGGCTGGGGACTTGATGGTAACTGAAATAATGCTGAATAAATCGCGTTGGCTCTTCCCTGTGTTTTAATCTAATGATGATCCATAGTCATGTTCTTTAAATCCTCTTGTTCTGATTATGATCAGGCTCAGTTTGGATATCTTCGGAACTCAAAGGTCTGAATGATGATTGTGAACATTTTGAGACCTTTCCACCGGGTAACTTGTACTCTAGCAAGGAAGGTGGATTCAAAAGATGGTACAATCCAACCTGGTTCTCTGAGGCTATTCCATCGACTCCATATGATCCACTTGTTCTAAGACGCGCATTGGAAAGTGTATGGATTTGAAGATATCTTATTAGATCGAACACAATTTTAAAATCTATTTAACAGGCAAAATCATAAGGATAACGAACTTACACTTTAACATATGCAGGCTGTGATCAAAAGGCTAATGACCGATGTCCCTTTCGGAGTTCTGCTATCTGGTGGCCTAGACTCATCACTGGTTGCCTCTATCACAGCTCGTCACTTAGCTGGCACAAGAGCTGCCAAGCATTGGGGAACACAACTCCATTCCTTCTGTGTTGGTCTTGAGGTTGGTTTCTTTTCTTAATCTTGCAGTTCCTAGAATTATCAATTAAATACATTTTGGGTTTTCTTTTAGTGAATAGTATTTTCCCTCTGATTATGCAGGGGTCACCGGATCTGAAGGCTGCAAAAGAAGTTGCAGATTATTTGGGAACTGTCCACCACGAGTTCCATTTCACAGTTCAGGTACAAAACACATCTAGAACTTTACGACTAAATATTGATCCCCCTCGTCCTTGATCTAACGTTGCCGCCTTTATCTTATTTTCTAATAGGATGGGATTGATGCCATTGAAGATGTTATTTACCATATAGAAACATATGATGTGACCACAATCAGGGCAAGCACGCCTATGTTTCTTATGGCACGGAAGATCAAGTCACTAGGAGTAAAGATGGTGATTTCTGGTGAAGGCGCTGATGAGATTTTTGGCGGATATCTGTACTTCCACAAGGCTCCTAATAAGGAGGAGTTTCACCGTGAAAGTTGTCACAAGGTATATGCACTGCTTGATTATTTTTCAGATTAGGGGTGAGTGGAAATGCATCAATAACAGAGAAAGCTTTTGTTCTTGCTTGGCTTGCAGTTAAAGGCACTTCACATGTATGATTGCTTAAGAGCAAACAAAGCAACTTCAGCGTGGGGCTTGGAAGTTCGAGTTCCATTTTTAGACAAGGAATTTATTAATGTTGCAATGGCCATTGATCCAGAATCGAAAATGGTAGAGAAGTGAACTTCACATCACAACAGTTAGCTAATAGCCTTTTTCATTTCTTATCTCATCTTTCAATCTATTTCAGATCAAACCTGAGCAAGGTCGAATAGAAAAATGGGTTCTCAGGAGAGCTTTCGATGATGAGAAACAGCCTTATCTCCCTAAGGTCTGGCTTGAGAATTTTACTGACTTTGAAAGAAAAATCCTCTTTTCTTAGATAAAAATGTAAACCCTTTTTTCCTTGCTGCAGAATGTTCTGTACAGGCAGAAGGAACAATTCAGTGATGGCGTTGGATATAGTTGGATCGATGGCCTTAAAGCCCATGCTGCTCAACATGTGCTCTGCTCTATAGCTTTAAAGTTCATTTAGTGTTTTTATAGAAGAATGA